CACACAAGTACCTGGGACGGGCTCGCTCGATCAATTGCATCTACGTCCAAGAATTTGACATACCAAGCTGCCAAGCATCATCAGACAAATTCGTGGATCTCGTCCCCCTCGACTTCCCTTCATGAACGTGGAATCCTGGCAGCATCCAGACGGAAGACCGTGGATTCGCCGTAGTCCTCATCCCCGATATCAACTTACCACACACCCACGGCAAGTCACACAGAACAAGTGGAAAGAGATTATGCGGCAATCCAGGAAGCCGAGAGCGCCGAAGCAGAACCCACGGGCATGACAAAGATGGAACTCGCAGTTACCGCTCACCGCATCTTCGGTGAAGGCGACAACGAATGCGGATTCACGACGGAGGAACGCCCAACGCCGCGCTCCGACACACTTCACTTCGTCCTCAGAGCCAACACCGGGACCGTCGACGGAGAAGGACGTCCGCGCCCTTACCCCCGCGACGTCTATCGCACGGAGATCGACCCGACTTGGAAGGACCCTGACGCAAAAGAAGAACTAAGCGTCAAAGAAGAACGAGACAAGGTCAAGGCAGAGAAGAAGCAAAAACTGTACGAGGTCCGCGTGGCGGCAGGATGGGATGAGGAGTCAGCACGCAGTGGCGCGTGGGGAGATGATGACTACACGCCAGAGGAAGGCGCAACCTGGGGATCTGCCACTAGCCCTTCAGGCACTGTTCAAGGATGGGGACCCGGCACCAGCGCCATGGTTACTTCAGGAGGATGGGGCACAGCGGAAACTAACGAAGGAGATCTGATGCAAGAAGAATTAAAGGAAGCCGAACGAGAGATAAAAGCTGAGCGAGGAGAACAATCGCCGCGAATCGTCGTTCCGCTCGGACGACCCCCACGCACCCGCTCACCTCCCCGCTCACCTTATCGATGGAACGATCCTTGGTCGGAGATTGAGGAGGGGAACGTGCCGCCAACTCCTCCGCGTGACTCACTTGGTCCAATCTCCCGCCCAGATCCTTTCGCCTGCTTCATCGAAGGCACAAAAACCCTGCTCAACATCATCCCCGACCGCAAATTTCTCGCCCTTTACCTCACAACGGCACCTGCAGAAGGGGAGGCAGAAACAAAAGCAGAATCAGAGGAGCCGGACAACGAAGCAGAACCAGGAGAAGAGGACGAACCCCCGCTCCAGATTCCACAAGAAACGGAAGCGGAAGCAGCAGCGCATCACGCTCGCTATATGCGCACCAGCGACATTTGCGCCGAAGACGATCTCTGGCACCAGAGGCTCGGCCACCCCTCGCGCCGAACTTTGGCCAACTGTCTCCGCGCCAAGTTTTTTCTCCTAGGAGCACTACTGCGCCCTGATGGCACGGAACCTCACAACACCCCACATCCAGTCACCTGCACCGTCTGCCCCACAGCTGCTCTCTCACACGTCGCCTACCCCTCCCTGGAACCAATCATCGTTCTAACCTGCGAAGTTATCAACGGCAAAAAATACACGCTCACCTTTATCGACGCCTACTCACGTCACGTCTGGATCGCCAACGTTGACGCTCGCTCCAAGGCTCCAGAAGTTTTTTGCATTTGGCTCGCACACGCGCAACGGCAATCGGGGAGGAAGCTGGAAATCTGGTAGAATAACGGAGCTAAGGAATTTCGCAGTTACAAATTGGAGTGCGTCCTCACTGAGAAGGGGATCAAACATGAGATCTCTCCCCCTACGCTCACCAGCAGCAAGGCGTCACAGAGAGGGTTAATCGCACTCTCATGACAAAAGTGCGCGCCCTCATGAACCAGTCCGGCCTACTCAAGAAATAGCGCCATGAACCACGCGGTGCCCCTGCACAACCTTCTCTCCACCACTGCCAACAGGGACAACCTTTCCCCTCACATGAAGTGGACAGGCTCAAGAGGAGACACCTCCATGCTGAGGGTTTGGGGGTGCATGGTGCAGTACCGAACGACTTCAGCCACAATCGGCAAGTTCGTTCACCGTGCGCGCTGGAAAATTCATTTGGGACTCAGCAACAAGTACTAAGGTTGGCTCATCCTCGACATCGACAGCAAGGAAATTGTTCCCGCCCGTGATGTTCTCTTCTACGAACGACTCACCCTGAATCGGTGGACCGAGGACGAGTGTCGCAACGAGGCATGCGGTTACGTCAACAGCGGCCACAGATTTGCATCCCCAGAAGACGAGGCAGCAGTAACGGTGCTTGACCGCGACGACGCCGACGAGCATCCGAGCATTCCGCCTCGCCCACGCAACGACGACAACAACGGCGCTCCCGTGCCAGGACCATCACGGCGCCAAGCCGAGCCAAACACCACCTCACCCGGCTACGAGAGTGGCGATGACGATGTGGTGGAAGTCACCACAGGCACCACTACCAACGTATTCGGCTTGCAACTACTCGGCCTGCACACGTCCGTCACTACCCTCGCACGCGCTGTTGAACCCAAGAACCCACGCCAGGCCCTTATCGGCCCTCACGCCAAACAATGGCGAGCTGCGATGGATGCGGAGCTAAAAGCGCTGGAATCTCGTGACACATGGGTCCTCATCGACCGTGCAGCAGTGAAGGGGAGGAGGGTGCTCAGCGGACAATGGGTCTTTCGCTTGAAGACAAATGCTGACGGAACCATCGAGCGTTTCAAAGCATGCTGGGTCGTACGCAGGTACGACCAACGTCACGACATCGACTTCGATCAAACCTTCGCTCCCGTCAGCTGTCACACCTCCATCAGGATTCTACTCACCATTGCCGCCGATAAGCATCTGCCATTGCGACAGATAGACGTGAAGAACACGTTTTTGTACGCGCTAGTGGACGCAACCATCAGCGTGGAACAGCCACACACCTACGGGGAAGGAGACTCCAGGGTCTGTCAGCTGAAGAAGTCCCTCTATGGGATCAAGCAAGCGCCTCGCCTCTGGTAGTAGCATCTGCACAAAATCCTATGTGAAATCGGTTTCAAGCAGCTGCCGCACGACCCGGGAATATACCGCCTTCACTTCAGCGGCGACTACATTCTCCTGACAGTCTACATCGACGACCTGCTGTACACAGGCACATGCAAAAATCTCCTTAACCAGTTTGAGGAGAACCTAGCGCAGCGCGTTGACATCGCCATATAATGTGAAGCAGTTTCTGGGGCTGAATATCACTTACGCGCCAGAAGCAATTCACCTCTCAGCCTCCAAGTACGCAGTGCAGCTAGGGGAACGCTTCAACATCTCACCCGCACCACTCTCAACCCCTTACCGCAACCCCAGCACCAACTACAAACCGGACAACAAACCCCTGTCCCCTGCGGGACTTCGACTGTACCAGCAACAACTGGGTTGCCCGCCGTTCGCCTCTGTCAACTGCCGACCCGATCTTTCGTACATCGCCAGCCAACTGGCACAATATTCTCACAAGCCATTAGCTGATAACCAGCTGAGAACCAGCTGGACCTGGAGCGCGCCCTGCAGTACTTCATCTCCACACCTGACATCGGGCTCTCCTACTCCACATTGATGACAACCTCCTTCAACCTCAACGGCTACGTGGACACAGATCATGCCGCTGATCATGCGAATCGACGGTCCTGAACTGGCTTTGTTTTTCATCTGGAACCAACCGGACCAATCTCCTAGAATTCACAGAAGCAGGAGTTGGTTGCCCTGCCATCGACTGAAGCAGAATACATCGCCACAACAGCAGCACTTCGCGAAGGCCTGTACCTGCAGGAGCTGCTACATGAGGGGAAAATACCAACTTCGCCCACCTTTTGCCTTCAATGCGACGACTAGAGCGCCATCAGAACCGCAAACAAGCCAGGTTTCGTGAACCGCACGAAGAACATCGCGCTTCGGTACTTTTTTGTCAAGGAAGAAATTGACCAGGGGAAGGTTGACCTCGCGTACTGCCCAACCACCGAAATGGCAGCAGACTTCCTCACCAAGCGACTGCCACGTCAGCAGTACAAGCACTGCTCTGATCTCACCGGAGTAGTCAAGCGAGTCAGCCCCTTGCGCACCTAGGAATGAAGGGGAGTGTTACGATATGAAGTTGTATGAGAAGCCATTCCTGTGTGCTATAGGAGACGACTGTACCGAGCACAAAGTCGTGGAGTCAGAAGAGTCGAAGCAACGCAGCAACCGTCTGACCAAGACCGATGCAGGCAGAAACATTTGAAGTGAAAAGAGAGGGAACAGGTTTGAAACGGGTTACCGTGCTGCACGGTTTGAATTCGCTACAATAAGGGAATGTACTTCTTAGATTACATGGCTAGTCTAGGTCTTTTCGTATTCCCCTATACTCTTACATAAACCCGATGTATGCATGCAATTATCAACCACAGTCATTTACATTCACTCTATTCTGAGTTCACTACTTCCGCTGCAACACTACGTTGCTATCAACCCTGAGCGATCCTTCGCTAAGTCCCACTTGGGATTGTAACAATGTCAAACGAGTACAAAGTATGGGCAAAGGCATGAGCGAATACTTATATGCCAAAACATGCAAACGGTAATGCGGTGCGTGCGAACTAGCTAGTGCTACACTGGCGCGAGGTTCGGGCTAGTCCCAAAGCGTAGGCCGACTCGGCTGCTCCAGCAGTGCGAGGTTGGTGAAACAGTGCGTGCGAGGTTGGTGAAGACCCGTTAGCAGTAACGAGCGAACAACGACTGCTGCTGTACGCGATGTTGATGGTCTCGGTAAGGAATGTCTGAAAAAAATCTTAATCCGATGGCTGTCGGGTGCCAAATTTGATGGCTCTGAATCTTCTTGGGCTCAATAAACGGCTCCACCGCCACCGCCGCTGCCGTGACTGCCGCCTCCGCCGCTGCCGGGGCCGCAACTGCCGCTGCCGGTGACAGCAGGAGCCGCCGCCACAGTCGCGGCCCTGTGCGTGCCGACGCGCCTCGGCCCTGCCCCACCACTTGCGGGCCCCTACCCACCCGCCCTGGTAAGAGCACCGCCGAGCCGCGTCTACTGCTACTGCTACTAGCCTGCTGCTGCTGCTGTCATGGCTACCCCTAGCGTTCTCACCTTTGATGCTGAGGGTCGGGCTGTCGACTTTGATGTCTGGGTCGATGATCTGCAGCTTTTCCTGCAGTGCGATAGGAAAGACGGTCTCTCACTATTCGATCTCACGTTTGGCGCCTATCCTACCCCTGCTGCCGATGCTGACAGTACTGTTAGCTCCCAGTGGGTCACACGCGATGCTGCTGCCCGTCTTCCTGTGCGCAGTCACTTGCCGTCCACTGAGCGCGCGCACTTTAGTCAGTACAAGAGTGCTAAGACATTGTGTGACGCTGTAGTTGCACACTACTCTTCCCCTGCCACTGCTGCTCTTAGCCGCCTCATGCTGCCATACCTGTTCCCTGACCTCACCGCCTTTCCCACAGTCGCTGACCTCATTACGCCCCTTCGCACTAGTGACACCCGCTGCCACGCTGCGCTTCCTGCTGCGTTCTGCGCCAAGAACCCCCCCCCCCATGTACATCACCCTCTACTACATAGTCACCCAGCTCCCTGACTCCCTTCGCTCGGTCAGGGACCACTTCCTCTCTGTTTGCCCCACCACACTCACCGATGACCTCCTCGAGGAGTGCCTCCTGGCAGCAGAGAAGAGTATAGACGCTGTAGGAGCCTCTCATGGTGACCCTCGTGCCCCATTCTTTGAGGGGTGCTCCCCCTTCCCCCTTTTGCCCTCTGTTGCCTATGCTGCTGCCGTCGACTTCGTTGGCACCGAGTCGGTCGGCGCTGCGTCTGCCCCTAGCGGGAGACGCCGCACCGGCAAGGGCAAGGGGGGCAAGGGCGCTGGAGGGGCTGGCAGAGGCGGTGGAGGTGGCGGTGGAGGCGGCGGAGGGAGTGGGGGTGGTGGTGGGAGTGGTGGCGGGGGTGGGGGCTTCGGTGGCGGCAGTGGTGGCGGAGGCGGCGGCGGCGGTGGCGGTGGGAGCGGAGGAGGAGGCGGTGGCGGCGGTGGCGGAGGTGGCGGCGGCTTCGGTGGTGGTCAGCGCCAGCAGCAGCGGCGCACTCGTGAGACCCCCCCCCCCCCCACCCAGCAGCTTCGTGAGTGGTACGCTGCGCGTCAACGGGGTGGGGGTGCTGGTCCCTGTGCCTGCGTCCTGCGTATTGGCGACCGCACTGGTGAGCCGTGCGGTGGCCCGCACACCACCCAACGTTGCTTCGGCTGCCTGACGGACGCTTGGCGTCTCCAATTCCCTGACGCCAGTGAGATCCCACGCTGGGGTGAGCTGCTTAGGTCGAGGGTTGCTATCTTTGATCTGGATTATGATGCTATCCTTGCTGCCATGTATGTTGTGTCTACTAGTGATGAGGGTGACTGTTACCTGTGTGTTCCGCCTGACCCAGGCATTGACGCTGCTGCTCTAGGTGCTGGTGAGACTGCTGCTCTAGGTGCTGGTGAGGCTGCTGCTCTAGGTGCTAGTGCGTCTGCTGCCCCAAGTGCTGGTGAGTCTGCTCTCTCAGGTACCACGTCGGCTCAGGCCTTACACACCTTCACCCTTGACTCGGGTGCTTCCCGCTCCTTCTTTCGAGACCGCACCACGCATACGCCACTTAGTCGGCCAGTTGCGGTCTCCCTCGCGGACCCCTCTGGGGGTCCTGTCCTTGCCCACTTCTCCACTGTCTTACCGTGTCCGGCGGCCCCCTCCGGCACCCTGTCAGGTCTCTACCTCCCCTCGTTCTCTTCAAACTTGGTGAGTGGTGCTGATCTACAGGATGGGGGGGTTGACGAGTTTACTCCTGCGAGTCAGCTGGTGACCCACTGTATGTGTGCTCGGACGGGCCGACACTTGGCCACGTTTACCCGTCAGCCGGGGTCGAGCCTGTACACACTGACTACCGAGTCTCCTCCTGTTGCTGAGTCTGGTCAGGTAGCTGCGTCACGTCAGGTGTTTGCTACAGCGTCCAGGTCTATCCTGAGTCTGCTCCCTGCTCGTGTCGTCTCCTGTCCCACCAGACTCTCCTCTGGCACCACCGCCTTGGTCACCCCTCCCTGCCTCGTCTCCGAGGCATGGCCTCCCGTGTCCTTGTCTCTGGTCTCCCCCGGTCCCTCCCACCCCTCCCTCCGGGGCCTGCCCCTACCTGCGTTCCCTGCGTCGAGGGGCGGCAGCGCGCCGCTCCTCACTCCTCAGAGTTTCCTCCGACAGAGGCCCCAACGGACGGAGGACAGACAGACTCAGACTCAGCGACAAGACTAGCAGCGTAGTCTAGGCGACAGTGAGTTGCGTAGTCGACAAGCTCAGAGACTAAGGCAGACGCAGCAGCGGACTCAAAGGAAGGGTTAGTGACGACAGTAGCAAGGAGACGCGTGACAGTAGGACTAGCAGCACGAAGGGAGTCCGACTCCGGGTCAGCAAGAACAGGAAGAGAGGACTCAGGAGGAGAAGGCAAAGGGGCACGCGGCGGAGTAGTGGAGGGACGCAGAGACATCCGGTGCGTGCCGGGGACAGGGGGAGGACGCTGACGTGAACCACGACTACTAGTGCGAGCAGCACGGACAGGCGACGCAGGACGAGACGCAGGCTCACGACGCTCAGCAAGACCTCCAGTAGGACCAGTGTAGGGAGAAGGAGCAGGCAGAGGAGAGGTAGGTTGTAGCTGTGACTTGGACTGGACAGGCGGTGGACACGCCAAGGGAGGAGCCGGACTAGCAGAGGGCGGAAGACCAAGAACCTGCTCAAGGAGCGGAACGAAGTACGGCCGTGGCCGCTTAGCACCACCAGCACCAGAAGGGACAGCACCAGCACCCCGAACGACAGCACCAGCACCCCGAACGACAGCTCTAGCACCCCGAGTAGGGGCGGCGACGGGGCCGCGGAAAGGGGTGGCGACGGGGCCACGGAAAGGGGCGGCGACGGGGCCGCTAAAGGGCGGCGACGAGGCCGCTAAGAGGCGGCGACGGGGCCGCTGAAAGGGCGGCGACGGGGCCGCTGAAGGGCGGTGACGAAGCCGATAAGAGGCGGCGACGGGGCCGCTGAAAGGGCGGCGACGGGGACGCTAAGAGGGCGGCGACGGGGCCGCTGAAAGGGTGGCGACGGGGCCGCTGAAAGGGCGGCGACGGGGCCGCTGAAAGGGGGAGGCGGCGACGGGGCCGCGGAAGGACGGAGACGGGGCCGGAAGGGGGCGGCGACAGGGCCGTCAAGGGTGGCAACGAGGCTGGCAGAGGCGGCGACGGGGCTGCTAAGGGCGGCGCGACGGGCCGCTAAGGAGGGCACGACGGGGCCATTAAGGAGTGCGCAACGGGGCCGCTAAGGAGGGCGCGACGGGGCCTCTAAGGGCAGAACACTAGGCGCGCCTCGGGCAGGGGACAACGCGCACCCTGGGAAGGAAAAAAAACTCGATCTTGGTGGGCCCTAGGAGAGTTCCCACTAGGGAACCTGCTTGATACCATGAGAAACTTAGAACGAGAATGAATGACTAAAGAATGAAAGTGATACAAATATGAAACCCTAGAATTGTGTACCCCTTAGTATCTAACCCGCTACAGCCTACACAGGCTAGATCATATAAGTTTCACACCCTTGACAACGTGGGTGATGTAGGACGCCGTAGAGTATTTGGTGCCTGTCAGAACATTATAGCTTATGCTTTTGTGTAGGCTGTAGTGGGGTATCCCATAGGAGGTACAACCCAATTAGGGTTAGTACTTGTACCCACTTCATTCATAGTTCATTCATTCTCGTTCTCACTTTCTCATGGTATCGAGCAGGTTCCCTCGTGGGAACTATTCCTAGGGCCCACCGATCCCTTTTTTTTCCTGCCCGGGGCGCGTCCTGCCCCTGCCCGAAGCACGCCTAGGGTCGCGCCCTTCTTAGCGGCCCCGTCGTGTCACCTTAGCGGCCCGTCGCGTCGCCCTTAGCGGCCCGTCGCGCCGCCCTTACGGTCGCGTCGCGCAGCCCTAGCGGCCGCGTCGCGCCGCCCTTTCACCAGCGGCCCCGTCCCCGCCCTAGCAGCGGCCCGTCGCCGCCCTTCTCACGGCTCCGCCGTCCCGTTACACAGCCCCGCCGCCCTCACCTGCGGCCCGCCGCCCTCAACTGCGGCCCCGCCGCCCTCAACTGCTGCGGCCCCGCCGCCCTCTGCTGCGGCCCCGCCGCCCTCAACTGCGGCCCCGCCGCTCTCACCTGCGGCCCCGCCGCTATCGTTGCCGGCCCCGCCGCTATCCCCTGCGCCCCCCCCCCCCGCTCTCAACTGCAGCCCCGCCGCTCTCGTCGGCGGCCCCACCGCTCTCACCTGCGGCCCCGCCGCTCTCATTGGCGGCCCCGCCGCTCTTACCTGCGGCCCCGCCGCTCTCATTTGTGGCCCCGTCACCTGCTGCAGCGCCGCCCGCCACCCGAGGTGCCCGACCCGCCCCACCCAGCCGAGCAGCCGACCGCCGCGCCGCCCTGCAGCAGCACCGCCGAGCCCCCCGGGCAACCGAGCAGCCGGACAGCCGAGCCGCCGAGCCGCCCAGCAGCCGAGCAGCCGAGCCGCCCTGCAGCCGAGCCGCCCAGCAGCCAAGCCGCCGTACAGTTGAGCCGCTGGGCCGCCGAGCCGCACTGCAGCCGAGCCGCCCAGCAGCCCAGTAGCCGAGCTACCGAGCCGCCCTACTGCCGAGCCGCCCGAGCTGCCCTGTCCGGTGAGCACAGAGCCTCTTTTACTGCACTGCCCTCACCCTACTGTTGCACTGCTAGTCTACTGTGGTCATGGCTACCCCTAGTGTCCTCGCTTTTGATGCTGAGGGTTGAGCCATTGACTTTGACGTCTGGGTAGATGACCTGCAGCTGTTCTTACAGTGCGATAGGGCAGATGGTCTCTCTCTCTCTTTGACCTCACCTCTGGCGCCTCTCCTGCCCCTGCTGCTGATGCTGATGCCACTGTTCGCTCCCAGTGGGCCACGTGCGACGCTTCTGCACGTCTTGCTGTGCGCCGCCACCTCCCTACCTCCGAGCGTGCGCACTTTAGTCAGTACAAGAGTGCTCAGACCTTGTACGACGCTGTAGTTGCACGCTTTTCCTCCCCTGCCACTACTGCACTGAGCCGTCTCATGCTACCGTACCTCTTCCCTGACCTTGCTGCCTTTCCCACAGTTGCTGACCTCATTACGCACCTCTGCACTAGTGACACTCGCTACCGCGCTGCGCTTCCTGCTGACTTCTGCGCCAAGAACCCCCCCACCCATGTATATCACCCTCTACTACATAGTCACCCGACTCCCTGACTCCCTTCGCGTAGTCAGGGACCACTTCCTCGCAGTGTGCCCCACCACTCTCACCGTTGACCTCCTCGAGAAGGCCCTCCTTGCGGCGGAGAAGAGCACAGTCGCTGTAGGAGCCTCTCGTCGTGACCCCCGCACCCCTATCTTTGAGGGGTGTTCTTCCTCCCCCCTCTTGCCCTCTGTTGCCTCTACTGCTGCGGCCGACCTCGTTGGTTTTGAGTCGGTCGGTGATGCGTCTGCCCCTTCGGGGAAGCGCCGCACAGGCAAGGGCAAGGGGGGCAAGGGCGCTGGAGGAGCTGGCGGGGGCGGTGGAGGCGGCAGTGGAGGCGGCGGAGGGAGTGGGGGTGGTGGTGGGAGTGGTGGAGAGGGTGGGGGTACCGGTGGCAGCAGTGGAGGTGGAGGCGGCGGCGGTGGCGGAGGGAGCGGAGGCGGCGGTGGTAGCGGAGGCGGCGGTGGTGGCGGAGGCGGTGGTGGTGGCGGAGGCGGTGGAGGCGGCGGAGGCGGCGGAGGTGGCGGTGGAGCTGGTCGCGGGTCTACGCAGAGGAGTGGCTCCGGTGGTGGTCCACGCCAACAGCAGCAGCGCGGTCGTGAGACCCTGTCCCCTCAGCAGCTCCGTGAGTGGTACACTGCACGCCAGCAAGGTGGGATTTTTGGTCCGTGCACCTACGTCCTGCGCACCGGCAACCGTGCGGGTGAGCAGTGTGGGGGTGCGCACCCCACCCAGCGCTGCTTTGGCCGCTTGACTGACGCGTGGCGTCACCAGTTCCCTCAGGCTACAGAGATCCCTCGCTAGGGCGAGCTGTCTAGGGCGGGACTTGCCATCTATGATCTTGATTTTGATGCTATCCTTTCTGCCATGTATGCTGTGACTATTAGTGATGAGGGTGACTGTTACCGGTGTTTCCCGCCCGATCCGGGCATTGAGACTGCTGCTCTAGGTACTGGTGAGGCTGCTGCCCTAGGTGCTTGCGACGCTGCTGCTCTCGGTGCTAGTGCGTCTGCGTCCTCAGGTACTGGTGAGTCTGCGCTCTCAGGTACTGCGTCGGCTTCGGCCTCCCTCACCTTCACCTTTGACTCTGGGGCTCCTCGCTCCTTCTTTCGGGACCGCACCACTCTCACGCCGCTTAGTCGGCCGGTTGCGATGTCTCTGGCTGACCCCTCTGGGGGTCCTGTCCTGTCTCACTTCTCCACATTCCTCCCGTGTCCGGCGGCTCCCTCTGGCACCCTGTCTGGTCTCTACCTCCCCTCGTTCTCTACGAACTTGGTGAGTGGTGCTGTCCTACAGGATGGGGGAGTGCACCAGTTCACACCTGCGCATCAGCAAGTGACGCACTGCACAGAGGCTCGCACAGGCCGACACTTGGCTACGTTTACACGTCAGCCAAGGTCGAGCCTGTACACACTGACCACCGCGTCTCCTCGAGTTGCTGAGTCTGGTAGGGTAGCTGCGTCAGGTCACGTGTTTGCTGCAGCGTCCAGGTCTAGTCCTGAGTCTGCCCCCTGTTCGTGTCGTCTCCTGTCTCACGAGACTCTCCTCTGGCACCACCGCCTTGGTCACCCCTCTCCTCTTTGTCTCAGAGGCATGGCCTCCCGTCTTCTTGTTTCTGGTCTCCCCAGGTCCCTCCCTCCCCTTCTTCAGGGGCCTGGCCCTTCCTGTGTCCCCTGTGTCAAGGGGCGCCAGCGGGCTGCCCCTCACTCCTCCCAATTTCCTCCGACAGAGGCCCCGCTGCAGACGCTTCACATGCACGTGTGGGGCCCAGCCCGCGTCCGTGGACAGGGTAACGAGCGCTACTTCCTGCTTGGTGTTGACGACTACTCGCGTTACACCGCAGTCTTCCCCTTGCGCAGCAAGGGTGATGTCAGTGAGGTGTTGATTGACTAGATCCGCGCAGCTCGTCTCCAGCTCAGGCAGAGCTTTGGCTCGGACTTTCCTGTTCTGCGTCTTCACTCGGACAGAGGCGGAGAGATTTCCTCTGGCCTTCTGAGAGCCTACTCACGCTCACGAGGCATCCGTCAGACCTTCACGCTTCCGGACTCTCCGCAGCAAAATGGGATCACTGAGCGCCGCATTGGCATGGTCATGGACGTCGCTCGTACGTCCATGATGCATGCGGCTGCCCCCCATTTTCTGTGGTCGTTTGCGGTGAGGTACTCGGCGCATCAGATCAACCTCCACCCCAGGATCTCCAGGCCGGAGACCTCCCCAGCTTTGCTGTGGACGGGGAAGGTTGGCGATGCGTCGGCGTTCCGGGTCTGGGGATCTCGGGCGTTTGTCCGCGACTTGTCTGTGGACAAGCTGTCCCCTCGTGATGCTCCTTGCGTCTTCCTGGGGTTCCCCCCTGACGCGCTTGGGTGGCAGTTCTACCACCCCACCTCTCGCCATGTTCTGTCCTCCCAGGACGTCATGTTTGACGAGTCGGTCCCCTAATACCGCCTCTTCCCCTACCGCACTCTGTCCCTCCTCCCCCCCCCCCCCGCTCTTCCTTGTACCAGGTCCCCCCCCGGTAGACCCCCTCCCCCCTCAGGGTCCTGCCCCTTCAGGTGTGTCCCAGGTAGACGCAGTCAGCCTGTCGAGGTTACTGGTGACTCTGGTGCTGCTGAGGGTGCTGAGCCTGGGGGTGCTGAGCCTGGGGGTGCTGAATCTGGGGGTGCTGAGACTGGGGGTGCTGAGCTTGGGGGTGCTGAGCCTGGGGGT